TTTTTTTTTTTTAAGAGACAGGGTTTCACAGTGCAATGACAGCTGACCTTGAAATCATTTTGCAGCCCAGGCTGGCCTGAATGCCCAGTGATCCTCCTAATTCAGCCTCTTCAGTGCTAGGATTACAGGCATGTGCTGTCACGCCCAGCCTAATTTTGGGGTTCTTTGTTCCACATACACAATATCCCCAAATGTAGTCACAAGCCATGTAGCTTTCCTAAACACAGCTATATAGGATTCCAGATGAGTGCCCAAGTTCCCTTTCCTCCTGTGATCAGGTATTATTAGATACAGTACGGGATACATTCATGGCCCCATGTAATCGTGTCTAAGAGAATAATGAAACCTTCATTTATATGGTGCTTTAAGATATTATTGCCCATGTCACTGTATGCGCCTATTTCATTACAGTATTAGATCATTTGCCAGATCGTTCAGTGCTGAAGCACAAGATGATGGAATATTGCTGCAAAACAATAAATATTTGGGGAAAAATTAATGCAAGAGAAGAAAAACAGTGTAACTTCTGAGTTAGTGTCTGTTCTTTAGTAGCTTGTAATATGAGCGTTTCCTCAGTGATTCCTACAGTGCTGAGAGATACAGCGGCCTTAAAATAGCATGTTCTTTACTTCTGAGATTGAAGATGAAAAAATTAATATTGATAAATTAAGCTACTGAGTCAGGATGTGCAGGGACAGAATGAGAACCACTGTAATAGTCGCTTGGCTCCTGGATGCAGAGTGTTTGTGACAGTATCACTCTTCATTTGGCTGGCGGGCAGGAAAGGCAGATATTTCTAACATATAAGACAAAGTAAAATGATATTTGCAATTGTTTCCTGAGCACAGAGAACACGCTTGTTTCTGACACAGCTACTTTGCTTGTGTGTGACCTCGCGCACTGGAAGGACAGTGGAGGAGCGGGAGACTGGCAGTGCCTGATGGCGGCTGCTTGCACAGTGTGGAGGAGGACAGCAGAAAGACAGTGCAGGCGAGTGAGAGTCCACCCCACAGAGAACTGTAAATCAAGAAAGGGCTGTGCGGAGAAAGAAGGATGAGGGGAGGAGAGGAAAGGGGGAGAGAGGGAGAGAGGGAAGAAGCGAGGCTAGGGTGAGGACGGAGAAGGCCCCGGCTCACAGAAGGAAGCAGTGAGGTGGTTAACGCTGAGAAGTAATTTAAACAGAGGAGGAGATGCACTGAGTCCGGGTAGTCCAGGAATATTCCTGCTTCCGTACTTCTGTAACAAAGCTCGAGGTCTGCAATTGGCAGTTACTTATACAACCCTTAGAATGGAATCAAGCTTATTCAGAGTCTTCAATCAAATGAAAGCAAGTATTGGCACCACTTCCGGAGTTCTTTTGTCAAATTACCTCTCTCTCCCCTCGCCGGGAACTCTCCCAATCACTGTTTTCCTTCTTGATGCATATGTAAGAGTAAATGGTTTTTCTGCTATAGATAACCAACCTCCTGTGATTCGAACATCACAAGACAAATTACAGACATTTCATGGAGAAAACTTTGAGTACCAGTTCATGGCCTTGGACCCAGAGGGTTCTGAGGTTCACTTTACTTTGGAATCGGGTCCCGAAGGCGCACGCATCTCCCCTGCAGGACGACTGACGTGGAAAGCGGAGTCGCGGGCTCCACAGCAGTTCACGCTCCACGTCAGCGATGACTGCGGCACTGAAAGGAGAGTCACAGTTGAGGTCAGCATTCCAATTATGTGTATAATGTCACTGGGTCCTTTCAGAGTAGCGTCAACTGTATTTTAGTTCTTAAACACAGACATAGTCTTAATTGCAGACAGCAAAGTAATAAAGTTGTTAAATATTGAACATTTGATGGGTCCTTGTAAAAATAGAGAAATTCTCAATCCAGAAGCATGGAACTAAAGTAATGATCTACAGTTATATTATGCACTTAACAATGGCAAGGATGAAGGATTCATTCACTTCTGCTTCATGACTGACCTGCCACTAAAACAAGACTGATACACTCTTTGCCTTCCAATTAAAAGAATCTCAGATGTTGAATTAAAATCAAAATTATAGGTGGAAGATTTGAAATAGCAATTGATGACTATAGTTTCTTTATTGGCTTTTTTTTTTTGTTATGCCAGTCAAAGCTCTACGTGTTTTTAAGCCTATTTAAACCCTAAATTTCCTGGAAATATGGGGTGCGCTTTCACACAGAAGCTGCACAGTGCATGGCAGTTGTGCTGTGTCGACATGACAGCCCAGCCACTGAAGTCGTGATTTGCTCGCTGGATTTGGGGGTAACCTGGATGACTGTTTCCCTCTTGGATAGTTCCAAGCATTCTTTTGTTTTTATATCCCAAGTGTGTTTATTGGGCTGGCCTCCCACTCGTCTTGCCTGAGGGTACTGATAGTGCTGCTTCCTCCTGCAGGAACGCCCTGCTGTGAGCCTTGCTCTCCCTCCTGTAGGCTGCTGGCACAGGACAGCGGAGCAGCCAACACACGGAACTACCGTCTGTTCTTGGCTAAAGACTGTGGTGATTTTACAGAGCCCTGGGCACTTCATGCCCATGAAGTAGGGATTTGGCCTTACACCAGGCACTTCTTCTTGTGCTTCCTCTTGTCCTCATCAGGAGGCATGTTCTGGTGGGGAGTTCGTCACCACCAAAACGGTCCCAAGCATTCTGCTTGTGTTATCTAACTTGATCATCTTGGACCGTTGCTTTAAAAATTATCCAAGCATGCGTCATTTGGCTATGCCTTGAAAGTGGGCATGCTTTTCTTATTAAGTCATTTAAACTACATTTTACATAAAATATGTCTTACAAAGATATATGTTTCATCACACTTGTTCTTAAGCATACCTGCCCACCATAATTTCTAGGGTATGTACTCATGATAATTTTGTTTTGAAATGTACTCTTTCTTTCGTAGGTGACTGTGAGGTCTTGTGACTGTCTGAATGGAGGGTCATGTGTGCCTGACAGGAGATTCCCTGCGGGGAGTGGAGCTTATCTGTGTATGTGCTTGCCTCGATTCCATGGTGGTCTTTGTGAAATAGTTTTTAGCCCGTGTCAACCCAACCCGTGTGGTCTTGGCACATGTATTGAGGGGTTGAGCAGTTATTCCTGTGACTGTCCACCTGAGCTCAAAGGTATGTTCTGGTTCCGAATGAAGTAAATAAAAATATGAATGGATTAGCAAGGAAAGTTCCCTGGCACATTTAACTACAGATCATTCAAGTAATTACATGATCCTGAAGATTTTGATATACATTTTAAATACTCTAATAACCACAGTAACTATGCTATTTATATCTGTTAGGGGTTTTAATTTTTTTAATTGCTTATATTTTTTCAATTTTGTGCATTTTTGTATCTGTAATAGCAAGCATTAAATGCAGGTATATAAATATTTGCACTTACATTCAATAGGTAAAACACTGAAATATGGTATTAGCACAATATAGTACAGAAACACAAGAAATTATACCAGCAGAAATACAAAAGAGATTTTACTGATGATTCATTAAATTAGAAATATCATGATATGAATTAGAGTTGAAGGTCTGGGTTTATAGCCACATAGTAGAGGTCTTGCCTCGCAAACTCAAGGCTCCAGGTTCAATCCCCATGCCACACACATGTACATAATACACACAAACATAATAAACACACAACATACACATATACAAAGGAGTTGAAATAGAATGAAGTACTATCATATGCACTAATTGTTCTATTAATTATCCTAAAATGTCTAATTCTAGAAACAGGCATATGACTCCAGTTTTGACAAACTTTCATTTCCCAAGTCTTTTAAAAATCTCTTATGACTATTTTGAAGTTTTATAGATGTAAATACTAAATATACATATTTTGAGCTAATATTTGTCTTGAAAATATCTGTGTTAACATGATAACAGAATAAAGCAGAACATTTCTTTTTCTTTATTAGATTTAAATGCATACTTCAGCAATTGGGCCTATGCACATGGGTAGAGGACTCTTTTCGATTTAGACAACACTGGAATGACTTTAAATGTTGGCTGCTTCATGAGTTTTAAAATAATAAGGGCTGCTATCCACAAATGAATGGATTTATTCATTCAAATAAGTTTTAAGGATTTCCAAGACTACCACTTCCCCTCAAAACATGCTATTTAAAAAGATTGGCTTCCCTAACACATTGTAAAATTTTCACACATTTTTTCAGATAAAAGAAGTTGTCCTTAAGCCCAGCGGATAACCATTTTAAAACATTTTTTTTTCAAAAGATGACTGAGTCTTTAAATAAAGAATGTTTTTCTGTGATATATTATTTTATCTTAAATATTAACAGACATTTAAATCATCTTAGTTATAGAAAAAATTTTACATACTTTAAAGGTCAGATTAAATATGCCCTGGAATCTAATGACCGCTTAATCTTATATAGCATATATTCAAACACAGCACATTTTTCCCCACATAATTCATAACAGCTCTGTGTGGGTTAAGAGTTTATAAAAAGCTGATCAGACATATATCATATTTCAGTTTCACTTTCCTTCCCCCCTCCCCCCGCCCGCGGTACTGGGGATTGAACTCAGGACCCTGAACTTGCCAGGCAACTGCTTATTCTACTGAGCCATCTCCCTGGCCCCCAAAATATGGGGGCCTGCCCCTTAGCTCAGGTTTTTTTTTGTTTGTTTTTTTTTCTGGAACTGGGGATTGAACTCAGGCCCTTGTGCTTGCCATCGAAGCGCTTATTTCACTGAGCCATCTCCCCGGCCCCATATTTCATATTAAGTAATTTGAATGCTTGATCTCTATTTCTTATAGGTACAAACTGCCAAGAAGATGTTGATGAGTGTGAGTCTGAGCCCTGTTTCCCAGGAGTAGGTTGCTTCAATACCATCGGGTCCTATCACTGTGGTTCCTGCCCCAGAGGATTTTATGGTGATGGGAAAATATGCCACGGTAAAAGTTCCTATTTTCTGCTGCATTCAACTACTCCAGTCACACAGTTCCATTTTACGTTTTCCCCACACCTCCTTCAGTGTGTGTGCATTCAGTGTTGTGTAACTGAAGTGGATGCACAGGATGCAGAAATATATCAACATATCCTCCAGCTTCTTAGGTGGGAAGGTGGCATATGACTAATAATCTCATAGACAGTAAGGTATTCAGAATCTTTGTAAAGAAATAGTTAGAGGGAGTACACACAACCAAGGCATGGTGTGTACCTGGTAATGAATACCTCTGAAAGACAGTGCCTACCTGTGCTAGACACATGGGAAATGCGTCTGATGAGAGATCGCAGGAGAGGAAAGCGACCCAGGTAGAAGGAATAGCATAAGCAGGGGAAGAGACATGTGTGACACACAAGACCCTTTGGGAGCCATCGCAGACTGATCTAGGCCCACAAATGCCTAAAGAGTGGATGGTGAATGGCTTAAAGAGCTTAAAGAAAAGAGAAAAATGACATGATCTTAGGGCTCCAAAAGCATCAAAACTCTCTAAAAGAATTAGAGATTTCCAGGGGGTTGAGACAAAGAACTTCTCTAGACTGAGTATATTTACTTGGTTTTCAAACAAAGGAAGGGGATGCCAAGGCCAGCACAGGAACTGAGCAGGACCTTGGGAATTAGTTCAAAGACTTCTCCCAGTAGTAAATTTTGCCAATTAAGAGAATTGTCTTATCTCAAAGGTTGGCAGCTTTATTGTTCTGGAATAAGGGGTCCGGGGACCCATGTCCTTGGTTTCCTCAGCTGTAGTAGGTTGCGTTCAGAGCACTATGCATACGCTGTATTCCAATACAACCAGAGGTCCCTGTGCTCACAGCTTAACCTTGCGCAGCCTGGGCTCCAACGGGAAGCTCTGAATAATCCAGTCTTCCTGGAGTACAGGGGGAAGGAGAGCTGCTGCAAGAGTGGAATCTAGAGAGGCAGACAATGGACAGCTCCTCATCATTTTGATCTATGAGAGAAACATAGTAAGGCTTACATGTGAGAAAGTTTACTTAAGTGATATAGACAATAGAACACTTGTGGAGAAGGAACTGTGTGAATCTAAAAGTGGGAGGAAAATTTAAGACTATTTCTCAAAAGTATAACTGAACATGAAGATACTCCAATGAATCGTAAGATGAAAATGCAAGATATTAAAGAAGAAAATAAATGATACTTAATGGCTTGGATTACTTAGTATGATAAGGGAAAGGAAATTGTTACGTTTCAGACGTCTGATTGGGAGTGTAGAATTGGTGTTCCCATTGCTGTGGACTGAACTGTATTCCCCTAAAATGCAGATTTTGAAGCCTATGTGGCTATCTATGGAGTAACAAAGTTATTAAGATTAAAAGAGATGAAAGGGTGGGCCCCTGATCCAATAGAGCTACTATCTTCTAAGAAATGCCAGAGAGCTCCACTGTCATGTGAGAATGTATTGGGACAGTGATCAGCTTTAATAAAGGATGAGGCTGTTCACCAAACTCATGCAGACCAGTGCCTTAACCTCGAATTTGCTGTCTCTAGTATGTTAAGGAAATAACTTTACATTCATTGCAGCCTGTTGTGGCACATGCAGCACACAAGAAGACATGGCTTTAGAGGAGAATGCTAATGAATCAATTTGCATAGGAGAAGAATGAAAGGACTGTGACCTGTGTACGTGAAGCTCAAGAGAGTGCACTTAACGATACATTTCCTACCATCATGAGCTATGGAATGAAATTACGCAGGGAGAACACTAATTCAGAGGAAAGGGGACAAAAGAATCATAGACATCAACATTTCAAAAGATTAAAAGAAAAAGACTGGTATCAAAAACTGTCTGGCACAGTTGAATGAGATCCTGCTCTGATAAAGACTGTACTGATGGCATAATGCCACCTTTCTCACTTGAGATAGGGCTGTCTGTAAGAAGCAGGGGGTCACAAATATGAGAAGCAGAATAGAAGAGGACTCCCTACTCTGTCAGCTGCTTGCATTTTCTCTTCAGTGTCTACTTCCTATTATTTACAGCTTCTGCTCTGTGACAAGCATCCCTCTTTCCAAAGAGTCTTATTTCCTCAATTAAACCTTTCTCCAATGAACTCATAAAAGGAAAGCAAATTGAACCAAATCCCATTACAGGCAAATGACTGAGAAGTTTCCTAACATTGTCAGAATAATTTGTGTGCTTTCAGACATTGCTTAGTACTGTGACAGAAATTTTGGTTGCTGGGGGTTATTTAGTCTTATGATAGGTAGCAAAGTTGAAGGGTATAAACAGAAATAATAAAGCACAATTCTTACTACTGAGACTACTACTTATGGAAAGGGACTCATAAAAATTGCTGGCATGAAGGACAAAGTGCTGTGGAGGAACACAGAGGGTCAAAGCAGGTTACACTGGCGTGTGGCACTAAAGGTTGCTATAATTGAACACCAAGCCTGAGGGCCTTGACGTTTGTTTTCTCATGGTTCTGGACGCTGGAAGTCAAGATCAAGGTGACAGTTTGGTTGGGGTTGGGCAAGGCCTTCTTCCTGGCTTGTGGACGGCTGCCTCCACACTCCGCCTATCCTCTGTGTATGCTTGTCTCGTGTCTGTTCCTGTCCTTAGGTCAACAGCTCTCCTGGGTCAGAGGCCTGCTCTTCTGACGTCATGTAACCATAGTCCACAAATCCAGCCACCCAGGCGGTTAGGGCTTCAGTGTGTCAAAGGTGTCCACATTTCATACAGAGCAGAGGGTTTCCTGAAAACATGATATCTAAAGTGATTCTCTAATCTGAATTGCAAAGAGTTTAATCTAAATGACATGCTCTTATTCATGATGTTTTGGTTTTATAAGAGTTTTAACTCTGATTCTACTTTCATGGATCAATCTACAGAAACACAAATTTTAAATGAATTTGCTACACAAACTGTGGTTATCACCGGATCTGACAAAGATGTAATTAAGGAAGAAAGCACCAAACATGGCCAGAACGACGTTAAGCCACCAAACAGAAATACGTCTAGTAAGTAATGGTTTTAGCTCAAATCTAAGTGGAAATATCTTCCATTTGTTTTCCACAAAATCAACGTAATTATTCCTCAGGTATTTTTACTTTTAGAAACATCATCTGAAGATTATATGTTGCTGATTAAAATTTATTCTTGTACTTGTTAATCTGTTGAATCCTTTGGCTTATATTATAGAACATTCATTTTTATCACATAATGAATAAAGGATACATCATTTAAGGCAATTTCATAGAAGCGCATTAATTATTGTTCTTTAACTTTTGTACTAGGTAATATTCTTTGTTTTCTTGTTTATGCAAGAAGGTTATAATATCTTTGAAGGCAGGAACAGTTTCTTTTTTTGAACAGTTTTATTACTTGTTATTCATAGTTTCTAGCATGGCTTATTGTGTAGTTTAACAACACATAGTGTAATGTAGTTGTAGACACTAAGTGAAAGAATGAATTCTTTAATGCCTTTTATTTGGGGAGAGGAGAATAAGGTAACTGGCTAATCTCTTTCTGTTTGTTTGTTTAGGCTTGAATTATCAGGCACCATCAACAAAGCATTCACTAATCGATGGAAATTTTACGCAGATTCCTGCCATTATCAAAACGTTCTTGAACACAACAAACATCTCCTATCTGTCAGTACAATCAGTTCCAACTGGAATGGATAATTCAGAGATGGTTGTTTCTCATCAGATAACAGATTATGGAGAGCTGGATCATGTTCTCAGCACAAATACCAGTCTAGCTGAGTCAGAAGTTCCTATGAACAGCAGTAATTCACTAACTGCTAATCCCTACGGTTCCAGGGGTGAACGACAAGAGGTTATCCACAGCACCATGCAAGCAGAGACTGGAGGCTACAGTTCTTACACTGATGGTTTTTTCCAAGGTTACACACAATCTAAGGATGACCTGGTTGTGACAGCAGATACCGAAACAGTCACTGTTTTGCCAACAGAGTTTGCGTTAACCACCATCTCAACATGTGCTGACTCACCTTGTTTTCTGGGTGTTTCCTGCATGCCCACCAGAGATGGTCACTTCCGATGTGGACGCTGCCCCTCGGGGTATTACGGAGATGGTATCCACTGCAGAGGTACGGTGAGCAACCTTCACAAGGTGCAAAGAAGTCTATGTAGTTCACACTCAAGTAACGAAGAAGATATGCTTTTCATTGGCTAATTTCTATTACTTTAACCTAGCTCACCATATTTGATAGAAAGTGGGTTTTCTGCATAATTTTTAAGATACTAATACTATGTACTAACATTATTATGTATTATTATTAGTAGTATATTATTATAATACCATTATACTCTATTATGTACTAATATAATTATATTATATTATTATTCATAAACTATACAATAAATATACTAAGTACTCACCTTGCTCCAGATTCTGTAGAAACATTCATATCTTTTATGTCACATAGCCCACAACTTTGCAAATCAAGGGTTCTTTTCTCTTTGGATAGAGAGCAAGGCTTTGAGAGTTTGTCCTTAACTAGCAAAAGAGATAAAAGAAGGATAAGAATTCAGAACTGATTAATATCTGTCTTGATTCTTTTTACTCAGTAATGATATTTTAGTACTCTAAATTAGTAATTCTGTTAAAGCGCCTCCTTAGGCAGACGCAGGGCCTGGGAGTTTGATCCCCTGGCCTGCAGTGCTGGCCCTGCCCCTGGGGCACACTGAGCCAGCAGTTGAGACTAGGTGTGGTGGCAGGTGCCTGTAATCCCAGCACTTGGGAGGCTGTAAACAGAAGGATCACTATGAGTCTGATCTACGCAGTGAGACCCTGAACACCCTGTATACCCTGTCTTAAAAAAATTAGTGATTCTGGAGTATTTATTTTTGTAAAGTAAGTTTCTCCATCATTCTTTCCATTTGAGATCAAGAAGTATTGATCATTTTAATTTTACCAATATTGATTACATCTTTTCACAATAATCAGCACTGCCTTCCTGGTGCAAGTCAAGGTTGGCTTTGGTAATATGTAAGCTCTATGCTTTTGCTATTGCTTTGTTACTATGGTTTTGTGTGTGTGTGTTTTGGCTTAAGAACAAAATTAAGCAAAAAAGCTGTTGGAGTATTCCTATGTTCCTATTACCTTCTAAAGAAATTGTACTGGTAGGAATAGGAATAATAACTGTCAAAACTTATGTGTTTATACTACAAAATTTCTTATTTTCAACAAATTTTAAAATTTCATGCATGTCAATTACTTCAGAGTGTTACATAGCCAGTAGACTAGATTAGTGGCAGTCTAAAGAATGTAGACCTACTAGCTTATGATGTTCTCCTGGCTTCTTACTCTTTGAAATTTTAAGTGTCTCTGTCATTCACCAATATTTAGCTGATTATGTCTGAAACTTCATTTCCCTAGGAAAAAAAATTATATAATCCTGTATGTGTTTAGCTGCTGCCTCCAATGTTGGCTACTCTTATAAGAATAATTATCGTATGTGGTACTTTCTGGTCTAGTAAACATTTTCCTCAGGTATCATTATAGTAAAGCAAATATAAAGAAAAAAATTATGATAAAATATAGTGATTGCTTACCACTGTATGGAAAGGTCAAATTTCAGAAAAATTTAACTTTATTATACTACATTTGAAACCTGCATTTCTTGTAATTCAGCCATTCTTCCTTGTTTTTTGCAGCAATTTGTAGACGTCCATGTGGAAAAAATCAGAAGTGCGCTGCACCAGACACATGCAAATGTAAGCCTGGTTATGCCGGTTCTAACTGCCAGACTGGTAGGTGCACCATTTGTTGGCTTGGGTGATGAACCGGCCCTGATATTTAATATTTCTAAGCCATGGGGTCTGTTTTGTGCAGCTACATGTCAGCCTGCTTGCAGAAACCGTGGAAGGTGTGTTAAACCTAACATCTGTGAGTGTCCTGTGGGACATGGAGGAGCAGCCTGTGAAGAAGGTGACAATTCAAATTTAACATCATCTCCTGGCCTAAAACAAGAGATTTTCTTTTTTAAATATTTT